ACTTTTTTTTATACATTTTGGTGGCTTTTATTCGGTAACATACGGTAATTTTAACGAATAAAATTTTTGGTGTAGCCTTCTTATCATTATTATTTCAAATGTACAGTATATACATAGTCAGGGATTATAGAATACGTATCAGTATGATATGGGTGACCAGAATTGTATGATATGGGGATGCACTGTTTTTCCCCTTTCTTTACGTTAAAAATTACATATTAATTTTTCAAGTGTGAGTTCAGTAACCTTTGCTTTAAAGAACATTGAATCAGTAGGTTCTGCTTTTTAATTATAACGACGTGTCATATTATATCAACATATTTCATTACCCTTTATCGTTTCTGCACTAAAAGTCGTCGCTCTTGGATCAAGTATGCAAATCGCGTTAGGAATGACACCTATCCTAATATTAATTGGTTTTATAATTAATCAAACACTAACTTTATTTTTTGAGACATTTGAAACTTGTGTTTTGGTGGTTTCGGTTTTGATTGTTAATTATTTGATTCAGGTAAAATTTATTTTGTTATCGTTGATATGTTTTTATTGAACTTTAGTAACAATATGTTAAATTTTATAAGGATGGCGAATCAAACTGGCTTGAAGGTGCAATGTTGTTGGTAAATATTTTTCTTTTAACATCAAGTCTATGACAGTGCTCACGGACAGTGTTCATATGACCTACTAAAATATTGTTACTGTACTGTCCATAAGAACTATCCGTTCCTTTAACGTTAATGTATTTGCCATATGATTTTACGTATTTATTCAAAATTCTAATATTTATACAGACAGCATATGCAATCATTGCTCTTGCTTTCTACTTTTACCCAGAATAAACAACAACACAAATAGTAACTTTATTTGCAGTGTGAATTTGTAAGTTAAATAATTATAATTACACCATCTATATTGTACAAAATTTTATATGAATAAATATAAATTATTGATAACAGTTTCGTGACCTCTCATAATACCATGTAAAATGCAAAATCTCTAATTTGTGCAGAATCAAAAATAATACCTCCCCGTGATTAATATTCTTGAATAAGACCTGGGAGTACAACTATATTGATTTGTTATTTTTAATATAATACATCTCTAAATAAAATAAAATATAGTACTCGGTTCTTTATGGAGTGCCCACAGGTACTATTCAATTTTAAAAATGGAGTTCTTGAACAAGACCTAGGTATTGTAAGCAGTTGCCAATACTATACACTTACTCTCAAAAACTAGAACCAGTTTTATGTTATCGCTCTCGTACGGTTTACTGGTTCATTTATGTCCGATGTGCATACTTGGCTGGTTGATTGTATGATAAATATAGTATATTTTCGCGTTATTTAAACCTCATTTTCACACATTTTAATTTTTTAACGCTGATCTGATTCAATTTGTTATCACTCAATTGGGAAATACGTTGTAGCCCATTGTTTCGCTGACAGTTTAAAAAATTTATTATGTTTCATCTAGAAATGTGGCTACACCAAAAATTTTATTCGTTAAAATTACCGTATGTTACCGAATAAAAGCCACCAAAATGTATAAAAAAAAGT